TCACCAGCGTTATCCAAGTTGGCTTGTGCTGCCGCCTGGTCTTCAACATCGCTTGTTTTGCCGTCACAGTCGACCTGGGAAACCTTGGTGGGAGACCCATCACAGCAGTTCTGACCAACTCCGGTGGGAGACCCGTGTTCTACCGTGGCCATGTTCAGTCTAATTGGAAAAAAAATAATCGAAGTGTGAAAAACTGCAAATGATAAACTTGACGGTTGAAAAGAGAGTCGTTATTATAGGTTTGGTCTGGTCTATCCGGACATTTCACAAATCATATTTTCTAGAATTGTAATGCACGTCTTATTGTTGGTTTCTTTTTCTTTAATACCCACGATCATAATAAAGATCATTCTGACATACTCATTTGCACCTGACTGAAGTGAGGAAAGGCGTGAACAGTGCCTTTCTCAAGGGCACATGATCAACTTGGCAGTCCAGGCAAGACCTCTAGGGTTTTTTTTTATTGAAACATATAGTGACAAGACGTGGTGGCGACACACTCAAGTTACACTTATATTCATGTCATCTCCAGACAACACATATTACACAAGACAAGCAAAGCACGAATTAACATATAGAAATTGAATACAATAATTAATCAATGAACAAGTGAAACAAATATATAACTACTGGCAGGACTGATTAAGATATTACAAAAAACAATTGGATTCTAACAAAATGTCTGTACAAATAGTAATATTTGAATATTGTACATTGTTGAGAGAAAAGAATTGAAGAACCTCTTAAAATCATCAGAAAGATCATCCAAGTCAGTAATGAAGCCAATCAGTGTTTTCGAGGTGCCAAAAAGGGCATTTCGCTGTTGAGTGTAGTTGGGGCAGTGAAACAAAAAGTTACAGAACCTCTAAGTCGTAATACGCTACTCTCATTACGCAACCCCACATTTTTGCGATTCTTCAGAATCATTTTTGTTTTCTCTTTAGAATTTAATTAACATTTCTCTATTTCTATATCATTCCACGTCCTTAAAAAGGCCACTTTGCCTGATGCAGCATGACGTACTTGTACTAGTAGGTGGCGAGGTTCGAACGTATGACTTCGCCCCCCTCCCCCTTTAATTCAACGATATTCACATCCCGAAAATGCCTACAAATTATCATCCTACTGCGGTTCTTCTTCCACAGAAATGGTCTTAAACTATTCCCCTCAACATCAGAATACTTTTCTGTCCGTTTCTAAGCCTTACCTGCTTCCTATGGAGGTTTTTCTCTTCACGTAAACCGGAACTCGGGCAGCTTTGTCATTCTGTCGTCTCGCGAGGTCAGAGGTGAACGCCTATGGGTCAAAGGTGAAATTGTCGACCCGATTACCCAAGTAGTGCATTTGATATCGGTTTGAACGTTACGTTGTCTTTATAATGTCAACGTTCTGCGTTCAAACCTACCAATTTAACAACGTAACAAGCGTCTGACGTTTGTTTCTGATCTATAACGAAAGAGAGATTTTAAGGGAATAAATGTCAAGGCAAACTGTTTGGTCTGAATCTTGATTTCTGTGTTTTATGATCAACTCACCACCTCTGACAATATTCCATCCAAGGAAAAATAGCAACACAGAAGAAAACATTATGTTCAAGGTATTATACGATTTAATTATGTCAGTGCAAAATATCTGTAGATCTAGAAAAAAAATACAAAACAGGAAATTTACTTGTATACAACCTATCGTCTACCTTTTCAAAGGCGTAAAATAACTTCCTACTTTGGAAACTGAAGCACATTTGTCCTTCTACACTGATACAAATCAATACTATTAGCTTTTGGGTTTATTTATACAAATCCTAGTAGTTTAAAGAGTTATACAATTATATCACAAGATATAATTGTGTTTGTAGGACATATAGGCCAACACTTCGTGACAGGAACTACTAGTAGATACACAGGAAATCTAAGCTCGTACACACACAACACTAACGTCTACATTCCAACTACTGTGTACAAACACAGCACTAATGTCTACCTTTCAGCTTCAACTATTGTGTACAATCACTTACCGATGTTAATTACTGATTATGTATATGTAAATTATTCAATGTATACGTAACGCTTACTATTCTCACTCTACAATTCTAGATAGCTAAAATAGATTTTGATATCTGATATTACAACAAAGTATATGGGTTACTAAGCGAAACTAAGACTTATTCTTGTACCTAAATTATAGCCATAACTTATTAGATATTAAAGAAAACAAGTATAGGGATTTTTCTTGGGAAAAACCTTTGCCAACTTGCAAACATCATGAATTCTTACAGAATATTCAGCCTATATCTTAATAAACATAACTGTCATATACCCTTAAGATTCGTATCAAAATATTAAGTAGAGAAACTGCAGTTAACAGCAGACTGAGCGTACTAAATGTCACTACGAGATGGTCACAGTTGCAGACTTGGTGCCTCTGTGTGGATTTTCATATGTCGAGATAGGATAGCATTAGAGGCTGCAGAATAGCTACACTGGTCACACTTGTATTGGTTTTCTC